ATTTATATATTTTATATAAAGAAGTCTCTTCTCTATAAAAGAAATATTCTATACAATATTTCTCTAAAAATTCAGTGCAATCCGTACTACAAACCTCCATGACACACGTTTACCTATGTAATAAATCTGTGCATCCTACATATGTACCCATGAACTTACATGTTAAAAAATCCAGTGCAGAAAAACTTGCATATTTAAATACTTTTCAGATTTAAAAATTAATTAGCTCCTAGTGCACATCTAGCAAATAAATTATCTTGAATGTTATTTTCTCAATATGTTCGTAGAGAAATTACCTTGAATTTTATTTTCTCAGTATGTTTGTAGAATCCTGGGCAGATCTTTTCTCTCTCTTGTAGATAAGCCCACAATTAAAGGATGGCTTCAACTGCAGATGCTAGTTGACATTTAGTAATTTATAGTTAGACGGCATAAATGTAACCTTAGTGTAATAGAACCCATTGTATGGTTCTCTGAAGACTTATCTATCCCATAAAATGTTGATGGAAGATTTTATCTGAACATAACATTTGAAAATAAGAGACAGAGAAATTCTCCATATCATCTCACAGAATGAGACGAGAGGTCATTGTAATTGTTCTCTAGGAAGGTTGGCTTTTACAGAAGTGCGAAAGTTGCTTCCAGAAGATCTGCATTAATAAAACTTTTCTGGGAATTAGGGCAACATTTGTTTCCCAGCTGTTGGAGTTTCACTGCATCAGTAGCCAAATGTGATCAGCTGAAATAGCGGTGAGATGTTCAATAGCTGCTGCTTCTGCTGATTTTGCTGCAACTTGGACCAAATTTGCACGCTAAGGTGGAAATCAGTAATAAAATAGAATTGAGTATAAAGAAATTCAGTGTCAGCTTTAAATGATTGTATATAAACCCATAAAAATTGTGCAATATATTTATAATTTCCTGAAAACTGCCTTGCTAGATCTGAACTGGTAGTGACTTTTCAGTTCAAACTCTGTAGACACAGCTGATGATCAAACTTTAGAGTTAATATATCCATTCCGGTTGATGAGGGGATGCTCTCTTGATGCCCTTAGAGTCTCCCTGCCATGCAGCCATCACAGTCTCCACTCTCTCAAGCAGGACCTGAGGACTGTTCTATTATCCACAACCAGAGACATGGCCTGGCACAGAGAGTGTCAAGCTGGCCATTGTCCAGGGCCTGCGCAGCATTGATTGTTAATTATTTTCAATATAATCTCTGTCCCTAGATTTTTTCTTTTATTATTATTATATCTGTATAAACTAACATAATGGTGTTAGAAATTTCCACACGAAACCTAAAGCTCTCATGCATTTAATTAGAAGTGCTATCTTAATTTTGTGAGTTAATTTACATCACCATTTTTGTATGCTCATCATGAGAAAATCTGTGTTGCATTTATCTTTTAATGTCAGAGATAATGAACAGTGACTTTTAGCATATGCATCACACCCAGGAATTCCCTAAATGTGTGAGGCTTTGTTACATATAACAAACTTTTTGCTCACTGAAAGGTCTGGCTAGTCTGTTGTTTTATTTTTTTTTTAATATGACATTTTTTGATATCTTGCAAAACAATCTTGGTAGGGAAATTTAATATTTCAAAAGTGCTGGGATAAAATCCAAGGCAGAAAGTTCTTGGAGCGAAAAATTGAACAAGTTGAAAACTCAAGGGAATGTAATTAAGATATATTTGGACACTTAGAACTAGGTAAAGGATGTAGTAGATGAAAATGGAAACAGCATGCTTCTAAATACAAGCAGGGAAACACAGGCGTAATGGCATTGTTAGGCTCTGATCCAGAACAACCATTTGAAATGATGAAATCATCACAAAACTTTATAATGTATTAGGAGAAATTTTAAAATAATACATTAATTTTCAGAGTCAGCCATTAGGACTCTCTTAATCATCTCTCAAAGAATATTTATTTTCAGGCTGGTTTGTCCTGAAGTCTCTCTAACTTATTTTCCATGGTCATTCACACTAATATGTTCTTTTGCATTAACAATTTGGGCAGCCTGTTAATTTGTTCATATTTTTCAGTGTGTCGCTCCTGGGTCCAGATCCAGGTAATGAAACAGAGGGAACCACTCTTGGCTTGCTTGCATTGCCAGCACTACTAGTTTATGGTTGGCTGTTCTCAGTTTGTGTCAAGATATTGAATGCCTATCACTCAAACACTGTCGAGAAGTTAATGACCTTCCACTGATTTCTGCGCCTTTCTGTCTGAGTGTCATCATAGGTCCTTAATTGCTGACTCCAGAAGGGAATGGATATGATACACTGGCTCAGCGTGATGTACTGTAATTAAAGTACAAAGTTTGAATGCTTTTTTTTTTTTTTTGCCAGTACTTAAATACAAGAATCTCCCCCAACCCCACAAATCCCTGACTACTGACAACTTTTATTGATAGGCTACACAATTAAATACATAGTAGAAAAGGCCATAAATACCAACAAGAATAATGTTAATGGAGATGAATTGTAAGAAAGTAGTGAAACTATTTCCTAATTTCTTAGCATAAAGTAATTTGTCTTAATTTTACATAAAGTAATCGATAGTCTGTTTTCCAAGTCCAAATCTAAGCTAAAAGAGGGCAAGACTAAGAAAGTAGAAGCGGCTATGGAAAGCAGTTTGGGCACAGGAAATAGTAACAGAGAGGGATCCTTGGTGGTTTTAAAAGTTGACAGCAGAGAGCAGAGGTGAACAAAAGTAGAAGCAGTGAAAATCAAAACAAGACAGAATGACCATTCTGGATCTTGTTTATAATCCTGCCATACATTCTTAATGGTAAACAAGGGTGAGTGTAGACAATAGAACAATAGAAAATCCATTGCTTGTAGAACTAGCTAAATCCTATACACCATAATATCCTTGATGTCAATCTATTATCTATCTATCTATCTATCTATCTATCTATCTATCTATCTATCTATCTATCTATCTATTTATCTATCTCTGGCATATATATGTAATATAAATATCTGTGATTTATTATGACATGATGTCATGCATATTTGCAGCTATTTCACTTGATAATTAGGAAAATTAACACTGCTTAACATGCAGAGGTATGTAAAATTTAATTTTGAGATTTTTTTTCCAAACTCTTTTTGCCTATGTGTTCAAGACTTCACAAATGTTATTAGAGCAGAATCTCATTATGAGGTCTCAAAACTTCTTTTAAGCTTGTTTGGGATTCTGGCTAATATCTTGAAATAAATTGATTTTCAGGATACTACAAATAATGACTTTATTGGGTATAGTATAGACTATACATAATCAATAGATGTCAGGAAAGGTGGTTAGGTGGTTGAATGGAATTCTGTAACATAAAAATCTTTAAAATACAGGTTTAAGATAAAAAATAGATTTTAAACTTCCCTTCCAAATTCAGAGTATTCTGTGTATTTATTTATAGATTTTGGATATTTGGTTGGTCCTAATCTTTATTCCTGAAGAAATATGCAATAAAACCACTACAGAGAAAGATGAATTTAAATGAATTTTTTTAAGCTTAATAAAATTCTGAGTTAGGGAAGATTTGAAAAATGTAATACTCTTACTTTCAAACTCATAAAGGAACGAATGGAGCACTTTTAAGGTTAAATTAGAGGAAGACATTGTTATTTCATATGTGTTTAATATATAAGGAGAGCCTCTAAAGCTGAGAGAAATAATTTGTTCTCAAGTCTGCTAAATATTTATTACCTTAATTGTTTTGAGCTAATCATTTAACTGTCTTTGAGAGACCAGTTTGGCCAAATTTCAGCCTACTCATCTCTCCATCCAAATTGTGAGAAATCAACAACAGCTAGCCATTGGTAAGATTTTACTAGCTCCTTTATTTCATGATATATTTGTTGCACTGTTCTCTAAGGCATCATCTTTTTTCACATTTAAATTACATTCTTTTTTTTAAAGTACTTAATTCTCTAAGTTCATAGTTGGGAGATTTTAATTTGCAATTTATCACTTATCAGAGATGTCTCTGTAAAATGAGAGAAGACATTGGCCTCGGAATCGGAGTTTACACACAGTATCTCCCCAAAGACCCCAGAAAATATTCAAAAAATTGGTAATGAGATTTTTTCAGAGAGAGTGAGGATTTTAGAACTCTATCCTGTCACTTCCAATGTAATATTATGTTAATTAATCGTTTATTACTACCGATTACCTTCATTCTGTCCTCTTTTAACTTTCAATTTTAGTAGATTTGCTTTCGGGTATACAAAATGAAAGCAAATATTTGTACCTTAAATCTGCCACTTTGTATCTTCTTCAGAATACCTTATATAAAATTGTTTCATTATATGTTACTTGTTTTTGATAATTAATTTGCGTTATGAGTTGTTATTCTTCTTTCATTAAGTTTTAGCTCACTTTACTATACACTCCTGAAATTCCTTTAGCTATTTTCATTTGCTATGTTAATTGGTTTATAAAATCTAAGCCAGAAGAGTTATAACCTTCCTTAACAAACATTGCTTGAAGTACTGAGTTTAAAAGTTTATGTTCCAAGTTTACGAGGGAATCAATTTGCTTTTACAAATTGCAAGCAATAGGCTAGAAAATAAACTTTACAAAGTAATTCAGTGGGAGAAGCATTTCTGGTAATGTATTTTCTGCTTTGATTGGTTCTTAAATTTTGATTCTTAGTGTTGTTACAAATAGAGTTCAGATTATCAATATATGGGCATCTTTTTTTTTTTTTTTTTCCAGGCCAAAAGGTGTGTTTTGCTGACTTCAAGCATCCCTGCTACAAAATGGCCTACTTCCATGAACTGTCCAGCCGAGTGAGCTTTCAGGAGGCGCGCCTGGCTTGTGAGAGTGAGGGAGGAGTCCTCCTCAGCCTTGAGAATGAAGCAGAACAGAAGTTAATAGAGAGCATGTTGCAAAACCTGACAAAACCCGGAACGGGGATTTCTGATGGTGATTTCTGGATAGGGCTTTGGAGGAATGGAGATGGGCAAACATCTGGTGCCTGCCCAGATCTCTACCAGTGGTCTGATGGAAGCAATTCCCAGTACCGGTGAGTATGGATCTTGAGCAGTTGACAGGCGTTCTGGGGAACTCCACAAGGTAGAGGAAGGACTCTGTTACCTGTAGAGGATCTCAGAGTAGGACAGGCAGAATCATTTAGTAGTCATGTATCTGAGTGTTCCTGTTACTCTCTGTTTGCAGAAACTGGTACACGGATGAACCTTCCTGCGGAAGTGAAAAGTGTGTTGTGATGTATCACCAACCAACTGCCAATCCTGGCCTTGGAGGTCCCTACCTTTACCAGTGGAATGATGACAGGTGCAACATGAAGCACAATTATATTTGCAAGTATGAACCAGGTAAGCAGTAGCAAAAGAAGGTATAGAAGATTTTGCGCATTTTTCATTGTATTAAGTTTTGTCTTTAATTTTCACTACCTGTGGCTCTTTTTGTTTTTCTGCTGTGGAATAGAAAATTACCTTGCAGCTTCTCATATCACTCGTGTAATGAAGTATATCATATGCTGTAGAGCAAACTGCCCAATGAGCTCAAAGAAGAGAGTGAATAAAAACATCTGAAGAGATGTCTTTAAGAAAAAATAATCATTTCTAACAATAAAACCAATTTTTTTTTGTAAATAGATTTTGTAAACAATACATAGCTGTTTTAAAATATTTTAAACATTACTATAATATGTGGGAAGTAGATGTAAGTCACCAGAGCACCTGTAGACTTACACACGTGAGCAGCACTTCTTTATCTGATTTTAAGAGAACAAAGCACTTTCTCCTGGAACATTTGCTTATCATTTTATGGTATAATACTTGACATGTGGTACTCAGTAAAAATAAGACTATCGTAGCTCATTGCCCCATAGTGGAAAAAAGCAGGAAGATATGATTCGTTCTCCCTGTGATTCCTATTCTTGAAACATGTCTCCTCAGTGAGCTTTCTTAAATTGTCAATTTGAATTACTTTGAATAGGATAGATCATCTGAATTCATATTTGACTGAAAGAGAGACTAATATAAACTCCGTGGACTCATTTTTTAAAACCATCTGAGAAAGTCAAGTTAGATCCTTAGGCTTTGAGATTTCTTTGCTGTTTTTCTCCTCCGCAGTGTTTGGAAGTCTCATTTTAACTCTTCTGGAGAGGTGTCTGCTTGAACTCATAATACATGTTCACAGAAGGCAATTATAGTTGAATACTGCTGCTTCCATTATTCTCTTGAAATTACATGATTCTTTTTCTCTTAATACCATAAAGCACAAAGGATTATTTGGATTAGGCTTACCCTTGTCTTACATTTATCCTGCTCTTGAGTGTATTAGCCAACTTTTTATATCCCTGGTGAGTTTATTCTTTAACCATCTTGGTTGCTAAACCCATCATTACCCTCCGGGAAGCCTTTGCAAAGCTGAGTCTGTTAGGCGCTTATGTCCTTTATTTTTCTCTTGGAGAAATATAAAGTTGAAATTCTCTAATATTTTAAATTTGTGACATTCCATGTACTTAAGACTATTGAATAATACAATATTATGCATTATTCTTAATATTACATTGTCGCCTTCTCCTTTCTTTTGAGTTCAGAGGTCAATTATTTGACCCTTCATTGTATTTATTTTATTTTTGCATTCAAATTGATGCCATTATTTAGCACACTATAAATCTTACAATCTTCTTTACTTGTTTTTGTATTAGGTGATCTAGGTTTACATTACTCATGCAAGAGCATTTATGATATAAAATTATTCTTTCTTTATCTTCTCCATTCTACCCAAATCTTCAAATGATCTATATTTACTAAAATATTCTTTCATGTAGTTTTTGTTTTGAAGCACATTCACAGGTTTACTGTTGGCCTTATTAATGTGCTCAGGATTTTTATTTTTTATGTCATGATTTAATCTTTTATGTCTTTTTATTTCTATTTAGTTAACCCTCCTTGAGCTTGGTGTCTGCTTTGTAAAGGATGTTGGTTTGATTAAATTCCTTGGTTATATAATTACCAAGTTTTATGTATTTACCAATCTTTAGTGATATTTTGCATAATATTTATATTATTTGTTTAAAAATACCAGTTGACTAGGCATAGGGTGACTAAGTTCTCTAGAAGAGTACATAGAGTCTAGGACTGAATCTGAAACCCAGAGGAGGCTATTAAAATGTCAGGGTAAAATTTGTGTACAAGAATAACAAATATTACTACAAAATGGTGTATGATTAAACTTCCAACAAAGGGGGACTCTATGACATTATAAGGCAATGTAAGAATGGTAAACATTAAATTAAATTCTTCTCTATCTTAAAGACTACATAAGATGTTACGTGTGTTCTTATTTCAATTGACAAAAGTAGAGAGTCACACTTTTGGAACAAATGGAAACCAATTTATGTTTTTTGAAATAATTCAATTTACTTTCATTGAATTATTTATTTAACAAATAGTTCCTTAAGGAAAAGAAAAATAGAAAATAGAGCAATACCAAATCATGACAAGAAACTTCAACAATTTTAAAGTGTGTGACAAGAGGAGAAAATATCAGGAATAATAGTTAATGGATGCTGGGCTTAATACTTCAGTGATGGGATGATCTGTGCAGCAAAGCACCGTGGCACATGTTTACCCATGTAACAAACCTGCACATTCTGCTCATGTACCCCTGAGCTTAAAAGTTAGAAAAACAATAAAAAATAAAGTGTGTGGCAATTAAAGAGACGTCTATAAAACTAGGGAAAGAAACAACTTGCAAGCTTTAATTTAGTGTTATTATTATTAGTTTTAAAAGTGGACACTATTGAAAAGCAAATCTAAGGACGGCATTGTATGTGCAGAACAGAAATGTGGCTTAGAACATGGTTGCTCGAATCATCAATTCCAAATTCAATCCACATACGGTCATCTGCTGATTATTATTGCAAGGGGAAACCTAAATAATACACTGATATTAGTAAAGAAATTATCTTGCATGTCTCTGAATTGCATTTAATATATCACACTCTTACGTTTGCCAATTCTTGGTTAGCCTTGCTTAACTTTGTGCCTGGTCCACCATTATTGCCTGCAACAGGCTATCATCAGCACAGACCCACAGTTGATTGCTAATTACAGTTTGGAGTTTTAAGGGAGAATGTATCAACTCCATCTTTTATTCAAAGATAATTAAATGCTGACTTTAGAGTTAGATCACTTCACGTAAATTTAAATTCAGATTATATTTTATTAGCTGTAAGCTGTTCAGAAATCAAAATTGTGGCGTTTTTATTATTTTCTAATATAATTTCATATTTATATGTGTTTTCAGTTCTCTTGTTTAATCATTATATATGCTGGTGTTTCTTATTATTTACAGAGATTAATCCAACAGCTCCCGCAGAAAAGCCTTATCTTACAAATCAACCAGGAGACACCCAGCAAAATGTGGTTGTTACTGAAGCAGGTAACTACTTCATGTGTCCTTAACTTCGTCAAGAAATGAACTGTACTTTCAAACGCTGCTTCATGTTGACCCAGTGAAACTTGTCTTGCCTGGAGAAGTGGTTCACTAAGTATGGTCCTATGGAAATTTACTTTTGAACTAGGTTAGAAAAAATTATGCTAAGCTAGTATTTGAATAGAAAAACCTGTTTTGTTTTCTTCAGAGTGGTACTAAACTAAGTGATCCACATTAAAATTTGGGTCTGGCCAGACACAGGGGCTCACACCTGTAATCCCAGCAATTTGGGGGACTGAGGCAGGTGGATCACTTGAACCCAGGAGTTCGAGACCATCCTGAGCAACCTGGCGAGACCCCGTCTCTGCAAAAAATACAAAAAATTAGAGTGGCATGGTGGTACACACCTGTAGTCCTAGTTACTTGGAGGCTAAGGTGGGAGAATCACCTGAGCTTGGGAAGTCGAGGCTGCAGTGAGCAGTGATCATGCCACTATAGTCCAGTTTGGCCAACAAAGTGAGACCCTGTCTCAAAAAAGCAAACAATAACAACAACAACAAACAAACAAACAAAAACACCAACAGCAACAACAAAAAAACTTTGGATCTACAATAAATTTCTCTAACAACACGTAGGTGTCATGATGCAAACTGGCACATTCAGTGGAGAGCAAACAGGGATGTGCTGGTAAATGTTTAGGGATTGGCTGAATCCTTAAATTGCTTGAAGTCAAACAAGAGTGGGTGGAAACAGCAACTTATCACTCAGATGCCCCATTGCTCATGAGTTTGTCTTCTGCTAGTAAATGAAGTGATGCACAGTTAAGTGGAAAGCTTTATCTGCATCTGGTCCACTTTGACCAGAATTATTCAGATTAGTCATGATGATGACTTTTAATTTACAAGCTAAATGCATAGTTCTTCAATTTGCTTTTTCTGCATAGACATGATATTAAGGCTTAGTGCTTTTCACTTTTCAGGTGCTTGGTTTTAAAACCATTGAGAACATCTAAACCTAATTAAAAGGATCCGTAGGCTGGGCGCAGTGGCTCACACTTGTAATCCCAGCACTTTGGGTGGCCGAGGTGGGTGGGTCACCTGAGGTCAGGAGTTTGAGACCAGCTTGGCCAACATGGGGAAACCCTGTCTCTAGTAAAAAATACAAAAATTAGCTGGGTATGGTGGCAGGTGCCTGTAATACCAGCTATTTGGGAGGCCGAGACAGGAGAATCACTCGAAACCAGGAGGTGGAGGTTACAGTGAGCCGAGATTGTGCCATTGCACTCTGGCCTGGGAGACAGAGCAAGACTCTGTCCCCCCACCCAAAAAAACAAAAATCACATTAGAAATATTATTTTCTCTTATGAAATTGAACAAATGTTTATTAAAGTAGTTTTAAGTTGTATGGAATTACAGTGTCACGGTTTTTTAATTTCACTAAGAATACCTAGCATTATCCAATGTGATGGAACAGGATTAAAAAATGATTCATGTTAGAATTTAATTAAGATAAGTCTTTGTGCTGCCAGAGTCTTGTGTCTCTGAGTTGTGACTGTATCATCGGTTAATATTTGCATATTTCAGTTTAATCCCAGTGACTCTTGTATGCAATCATGACACTAAGCTTATTGGCTAGGTAATTACTTACCTAATATATTTAAAATAATTTTAAGAATTATTATTTTAATAATAAGTACTTATTTTTGTAAGTAATGATTGAGAAGGAGTGATGAAATGAGTTAGCTAAGATTATTAATGAAAGCTAGTCCACGTCTGAATTGTAGATTTAATAATAGTTTTGGAAGTATGGATATCAAATTGGAACAGTTTGATATCACTACAATTCAGTACCATTCAATTTTCAGTACCATAAAACTTTGTTTTTAATTTTTACCAAAATATGAATACAGTCATGTGCCACTTAACAATGGAGATATGTTCTGAGAGATGCACCATTAGACGATTTTGTCATTGTGCGAACATCATAGAGTGTACTTAAACGTAGATTGTATAGCTTACTACACATCTAGGCTGTTTGACATGGCCTATTACTTCCAGGCTACAAACCCCTGCAGCATGTTACTGTACGGAATGCTGTAGACAACTGTAACACAATGGAATTTATATATCAAAACCTATCTAAACATAGAAGTGTATAAAATAGGATATCAAATACAAAAGACGGTACACCTACAGAGGGCAGCTCCATTATAATCTTATGGGACCACTGTCATAAATGTGGTCCATCACTAACTGAAATGTCACTATGTGGTGCATGACTGTTTATTATTTCATTAGATTTTTCAATATTTTGAGAAGAACTTTAGGGCCAATTTATTGAAAATTCTATTTCACCTTAATTTTTTGAAACATTCTTACATATTTTTGCATTAGAATTCTTCCTCAACTATCTTTTCACATGAAGACTGTTTTATTTTGTAGGTATAATTCCCAATCTAATTTATGTTGTTATACCAACAATACCCCTGCTGTTACTGATACTGGTTGCTTTTGGAACCTGTTGTTTCCAGATGCTGCATAAAAGGTAAATAACTCATATATGTAGAGACAATTTGAAAAACTTTAAATAGGTCTTCAGTAATGTTTTAAAGCTATTAGTATAAAGTTAATTATATTTTAATTTTCCTTAAATCCTATACATACAATCCTATACAATCTAATAAGATATACATTGAGGATAGGATTAATGTAATATATCATTTAATCCTCACAAGACTTATTAAGCAGTTACCCTTCTGTTTGTATTTCTCAGTTGAGAAGATGGTGTCTTAGATGGGTTACCTAGTCTGCCTTGGTTACCTAGTCATAGCTAGTGTCCATGCTGAATCTGAAATTTGGATGTTTGTAAACTTCCAACATATACACTCTACTAAACTGTTTTTTGTTATAAAATATAAGAATTAATGCTAGACTTTTCAATCTAGACATCAAGCTATATGTAAGACTTGATATTTTTGGGTTCATTTTGTATTACTTTTCAAAATTCAAGTCACAGGTTTCTGTTTTATTTCAAAAAGATCTTTTAAGAATAGGAAATAAAATACAGTGGTTCAAACAGGTCACTTTTTGCCAGGTATCTTGAAATAAAATCCTCTATTTTACCAGCAAGATTTCTGGGAGATTATTATGACTTTTGTATCTGCTTACTCATACCCTAGAATTAGAGAAGTTTTTCCATGTGTCCCAATTTTTTAATAAAAATGAAACAAAATTCAATAAAATGAAAATTTATTTCATTTTCAAATAAAAATGAAATATAAATATGTATCAAAATAAAAAAAATGAAAAGCTGTTCTGTTTATGTAAGAGCATGTTCGCTAGAATAAGCTAGACATCTTTGTCTGAGTGGTTTAAATAAGAACTGATCAAGAGAATGCCTCCATCAGAAAGGACCTGCAAACATGCATTTTTCTCTTTTGACCTTACTTCATCTTCTTCTTTTGCTGAAATAAACCCTAAAGAACCCATTAAGTAACAAAAGACCTAGAAAAAATTTAAGTAATTCTTAAATGAAATACTAATTCTACACAAAAGTCACATTAATAACCATTTTTAACCATTTAGAACATTTTTGTGCTTTTTATAAATTTTCTTGGCTTATATTCCATACATGTTAGATGATTGTAGAATAGAGTTGTGTTAATCTTACTTATTTGGATGGAAATCTACAAACCATACAATTTGGACATAATATTTTATTAGTAACCAAAACAGCTAAATCTAAATGAATTAAGTAATATTTTAAAAGGGTGATGGTCAGGTGTGTTTAGAAATAGTTCTTTTTTCTCTTTGAGGGAATTCTGCAATGTCTGGTAGATGGAGAGGAGGGGATGGGGAGACGTCTGTGAAGATTGAGGCAGATGCTGGGAACTGGGGCTGGGGTGGTCAGGGAGCAAGTAAGTGCACAACACAGTGAACTGGGACAAACACTTTTGGTCCAGGCAAGAGATTATCCCGAGGAAACCAGCCCAAAGAAATCTACTTTTGACAGGGCATCCAGTAGAGAATGACTTGGGTGCATCACCTGAGGTCGGGAGTTTGAGACCACCCTGGCTAACATGGCAAAACCCCATCTCTCCTAAAAATACAAAAAATAGCCAGGCGT